TGACAAATAAATAAATGAAATCTTAAAAAAAAAAAAGACACTAACTTAGTCTTCATGTTTGCAACTAAATTTTTAATTTGACAACTTTCTCTATTATTAGGAAGTGACAGTGCTAGGATTTCTTTCATGCTTTTTCATCCAAACAAGGTTTTACTGTGTGTCTCCAGCCACTGCAATTTGATAACCTATCCTGCTAGATGCTTCAACAGCTTTTTCATTGCTAGTTTGAAAGCTGTAACAAATCATTCTTGGCTTTTTAAGAGTTCCTCATATCTACATTTAAGTCATTCAATTCATTTTTCTTTAGAGGACTCTGAATGGTTGATCTCAGAACGCTACCGGCACCGTAATATTATTCAAAAAGGTTCTACAGCATAAGACACATAATGTAAATTTCTAGCCACTGTAAAACTGATGAAATCTGTCACATTTTTAGGTCTTATTTAGTTCTGTCCACTTCTCTGAAGTAAATTCCTCCCTTCCATTATTGAGGGAACTCCAATAGATCATTTCATTTTTTTCAGCATTTATAAACATGGATGGTATAGCTCTGAGTAGAAAAATCAAGTTTTCTAGTTTCCCCCTGTTTAGCCAAAAATCTATCCTTAAATATAAAAATATATAAATATCTTTTCATTTTAGAATAATTTTATATCATTTAAAAATTTAGAAAAGTTTTCAAATCAAGACTACGAAGTATAACTTACTTTTTGTTGTTGTTGTTTCCATATAGGCACAAGGAAAACTTAGGGATTTCAAAGTGATGGCTTATAAAAGGAAATGAAGTCACAGAAATGATAACAGGTATAACTAAAGATAGCTAGTAAGTGTGCAATAGAAGTACTAAGAATTGAATTCATCTCTGAAAACACATTATTTATACTCCAAGCTTACCCTTAGAAGGTTCTAGAAACACAAGCTGCTAGAATACACGAGCACACATTTCATTAACCATCAGAGGAAAAGTTCATCCCGAGTCACGGAGACCCTGGAAAAAGCCACTGTACACTTATAAGAGAAAGAATGAAAATGGCAAATGACAACTTAGTCTTATTTTTAAAATAGTTTGACCTCATGGACCCTACAAAATGTCTCAGGGAAGCCCAGGATTCCCCAGATCATACTTTGAGAAGAGCTGTTCTAAAGTAAAATTTGCTTTGCCAACCTAGTTATTAAATTTATATATAGGGAAATCATCAAAGATTCTCAGTCCCTCTTTAAAGATTAGATTATAGTCCACAGACTCCCTCTCCCAAGCACCTTGTTTACTTTAACTGCAAAGGGATGAAAAAGAAACAGGTCAACAGACTCTTCTCCAGAAATAATGGAGTGCCTCCCTGACCTAGGTCTCTCCAGGGTGGTTATTATACCACTTCTCCCATCTCCTGGCATTTACCCTCTCTGTGTGAACCACAGAACTCTGAGACAGCAGTGACATCATGAAGAGGGTGGGGCTGATGGAGAGGAAGACTCAGAGCTCAAGTGGATTTGGTCATTGTATGGATATGATGGGGCTAGATAAGGAATCAAGGAGAATACTGAGGTCTCTACTGTGTGCTGCTGTAAGAATGGGCTCCCTGGGGAAGCAGGTCAGATGAGAAGACAGAGTTCGGTTTTGGACACGTTGGTCTTAGGTGCCAGGAGACAATATGGCTGTCTCTCTCATGAGGTTGTGAGCTCTTATGAGCAATTCCTAGCAGTACCTGATGCATGTCAGTACTAACCAAACACGGTGTGGAACAGACAGACCGGAAGGAGAAAACAGGAAATATCAAGGGTTTGCCTACACCACGAAAAAAATAAATAAAATTTAAAAATAGAATGCCTCTGTTCACAGAAAAAATTAC